TAAACCTGCCCCCTCTGATTCTCAACCCTTTAAGCAATGAGAACTGAGCCATCCTATTTATCTCCCCAGACACCCCATGATATTGAATACCACATGAAAGTTCAGCACATATTTATCAATGATTTGGATGATAATATAGAAGACATGGTTAGTAAGTTTGCAAACAACACCAAAATTGGTGGCATTGCAAACAGTGAATAACATTTTCTAAGATTACAGAGGGATCTTGATCAAATGGGTCAGTGGGCTGAAAAATGGCAGATGGGGTTTAATCTAGATAAATGCAAGGTATTGTATTTTGGTGCAACAAACAGGGTTAGGGCTTACACAAATAATGGTAAGGCCTTCAGTACTGTTGTAGAACAGAGGGATCTAAAGGTACAAATACATAATTCTTTGAAGTTTGCATCACGTATAGACAGGGCGGTTAAAAGGCATTTGGCACGCTTGCCTTCATTGCTCGGTTCTTTGAGTACAGGGTTTGGAAAGTCATGTTGAGGTTGTACAGGACATTGGTGAGGCCTCTTCTGCAATACTGTGTCCAGTTCTGCTTGCCCAGTTATAGCAAGAATGTTATTAAGCTGGAGAGATTTCAGAAGAGATTTATCAAGGTTTTGCTGGGTATGGAAGGTTTGAGTTATAAATAATGGCTGGACAGGCTGAGACTTCTTTTTATTGGAGTGTAGGAGGTTCAGAGGCAACCTGATAGAAGCTTTTTTTAAAAATAATGTGGTGTTGGTAGATTTAATCCATAGGATGGGGGATTTCAAGACTAGAGTGCACATTTTTAAGGTGAGAGGAGAGAGATTTAAAAAAGACATGAGGCAATTTTTTTACACAAATGTGTGGAATTAACTTCCTGAGGAAGTGATGGATGTGGGTATAATTACAACATTTGAAAGGCATTTGGATAAGTCCAAGAATAGGAGAGGTTTGTAAGGATATGGGCCAGGAGCAGGCAGGCGGGACTGGTTTATTTTGGAATTATGATTGGCATGGACTGTTTCCGTGCTGTTTGACTCTATGACTCTATTTCTAACACCAAGATTCGCATTCAGTTTTATTTATGTCAACATTTCCTTCTTTTATATTAATTTAACTGCCAATGCAGTCAGTTTGAAAATTTGAAATCTGGTTGTGTCCGATTCGGTGACCAATTGAAAGTAGGATTTGTTCCTGTGAAAACAAGATCACTGAATCAGGATTGGGCACTCAGCACACCCTCTATTCAATGTTGTCTTGTATAATCATCCTACTTAAGAGCACTTTCCCAAAGCCCTCTACATCATTGGCATGAAGAAATCCATCAATGTCTACTTTAAGCGGACTCAGTGACTGAGCTTCCACAAAATAGAGAACGCCAGAGATTCCTTGCCGTCAGATAAAGAAACAATCCTCACTTCGCTAATAATTAGATGTTCCCTGATGCTGTAGCTTTTTTGCCTGGTTCTAAACCACTCACCCCTCCCTCCCAAACATGGGTAATCATCTTATCTACATTTAGCCTGTGTAGGTTTTGAACTTTTTTTAAAAGATTCGAGTGACAGCATCTTTCATTCTTTGAGATTCTGCAGAGATTACAATCCCATATTCCGCAATGTGGAGTTTTGTCATCCTTAAGTAAGTCTTTGTTGCACTCCTTCTGTGAAAATTCTAAAAACCCTTCAGTAAGTAGACTAAAACTGCATAAAATACGCCAGATAACATGTGGTCAAAATTTCATATGACGTTTTGGGTCGGGGCCCTTCAGAAACCCGAAACATCAACTTTCCTGTTCCTCTGATGCTGCCTGGCCTGCAGTGTTCTTCCAGCTCCATACTGTGTTATTTCCAACATACCCTCTTTATTTTAATTTCAGGAACACCACCCTACTGGAAATCTTTATCAAAGTTTTATGATAATCCACGCACAGTAAATCCACCAAATCGATGTTATCACTTCTGTTCAAGGTACTCTAACCTGCTCATCAAATGCTGTCTTCCATTTACAAATTCATTTGAGAATACTCAATCAATTTACTATTTCCCAGATGGCCATTTATACATTTGAATATTTTCTGTATTAGTCATTTTAGGCTAACAGCTCTTTACTTCCTCTTTTCTCTTTCCCCTAGGAGAAATTACCATTGTATCCAGTACTTCAATGTTTATCTCTCTGAAAATTTTGCAATGTAGATTATTAGGTCCAGTGAGTGGATCAAACTCCAATCTCAATAGTTTCTCCAAAACCACATTTTAATCTCCTTCTATTCCTTGCACTCATTTTACCCTTGGATCACTATTTCTGGGAGATTTATTGTATCACTCTCATGGAAGACACAAACATTTTCCTCTATTTCTCTGCCACTCCTAGTGCCAGGTGAAATGGGGTTGTCACTGCCTACAATTGACCCATGTCTGTCCAAATAATTTTTTATAATGTACCTGTACAAGTTTTTCAGTATGTTCTGTTTTGTTATTTTTATTACTTTGCATGCATATTTGATCCCCATGCCTTCTTTATCAGCTTCTTGAACCTCTTTTGCTGCATTCCAAATTCCACCAATTTTTCAGATTTATAACTATTTTTGCTAAGCTTATATGCCTTCACTATTCATCTAATACTTCCTTTGTAGACCACAGTTGAATGATTTTTTTGTGTTTTTGTACCTTCCTGGAATGAATTGGTCATGTAAACCTGAAATACTTCTTTAACAAATACCTATTTGTTATGAACTATAATAGCTTTTCACTGTATTCTCTCAATCCACTTCAGGCAGTTTACCCCTTACACCACCAGAAATTCCCTTGTTCAAACCTAACACTCTGGCTTAGGATTGAACTACCTCACAATCAAGCAGAATGTGCAATTCTATCAAATTGGGCATTGATCCACAAACTGCTTTTACAACCAGTTTATTAGTTGGGCTTCTTTGCTCTTTGTATACTACTAGGTCCCAAGTAGCCTTCTCCCCAGGTGTTCTTCAGCAAACTGTTCAGACAACCATCACTGGTACACTCTAGCATCTCATCCTCAGCAACAAGCCATATATTGATTGAAGGTATCCATCGTTATTGTATTGACCAGGCTACATGCTTCTTTAATCTCTTAATTATCGTTATGGCCTACACAAACATCAGTGTCCAGTGGCCTGCAAACAAATCCTTAGCAAATTCAACAAAGATCCCTTGATGGCACTTTTCTTTGTATTGGGAAATTGGTTGAGTGGCAGGCGACAGCAAATCAGGATGACATATAGGTATTCAAATTGGCAGAATGTGGCCAGTGTCCCACAAGGATTTGTGTAAGGGCCTCAGCCACTCACATTTCCAAATTTTCTGATTGCACAAAGTTAGGTGGCCTTGTAGACAATGTCGATGACAGCATAAAATTACAAAGGCATATTGATAGACTAAGGGCAAAACTGTGAGAGTTGGAGGTCAATGGAAACATTTCCCTCATCAGTACTCAAAATGGGAATCTAATTAGATGCTATTGTACTCCTATACCCTATTATTTATTTATTCAAAGGATGTGGGCATCACTGACCACATACTCATTATTGTTCATTTCTAATTGCCCAGAGGGCTATTAAAAGTCAGCTATATTTCTATGTATCTGGAGTCACGTGTAGCCCAGACCAGGTGAGGATGGTGGATTTCCTTCCTTAAAGGATGTTAGTGAACCAGATGAGTGTTGCCCCCTGATAATCAAGAATGATAGACTCTTGTTTCCAGATTTTTTTAAACAAAAATTGTATACAAATTCCAACTGTGTTCTTATATGGCTGGGTAGTCATCCATTTTTTATTCTGCCTGCACTTCCCTGATATGTGATGTGGAATCCTCCATAATCATGATATTAATGTAATTCTATCTATCATGGATGCAGAATCATGGCTACCACAGCTGCTCAGGCTCTGAAACATGGGAGCTGAAGCTTGTTAGGCCAGTGGCAGTCCCCTCATATAGGTAGGACACATGTTGCATCCAAGACTCAACACATATTGCAGGATATATGTGCTATGTGGCCAAGCTGACCTGCCATACCAAAACTTTTAAAGCCATTTATTATAATGAGGATACAGAATAACTTTCAGGTTGCACACCAGTTTCTTTACCCTATACATTTAAATACCAATTACCTGCAAACTCCATCTCGCTCACTGACTTTACACTCTCTACACCCAAAGCAGTGCACAGATCACTTCAATCATTTTCACTGACTTGTTCCACTAGACTTGCTTCTAACAGCATTGACAGTTGAACCTACAAGCACAAGTCTATTGTCCTTGATCAATGCTCTTCCTTCTTGCAAGAGAGGGCGCTTCACTGGAAATTTCAGCATCCCTTGTCCCTTGTCTTCCTGGTCCATTTCAGATGGCAGTTAATAGTCAATCACATTTCTCTGTATCTGTGGTGACACGGCAGACAAGCCAAATTAGGATGGCAGTTCGCCTTCTCTAACATACATAGGGGAAGCGTAAGATGTCAATGATAATTGAAATCTGTGGAGAATTCAAAGAGATCTATCATTGGAGAGTGGGATTGTTACAATACTCCTATTGCTTGCTCAGTCTACCCACTGGTCCCGATTCCCTGTGCGGGTATCCTGGAGGAATTCAGCAGGGGCTCCTTCACGTGTAGGCATCCTGTGTACGTTGATTCTCTCGCATAATATCAACATTCCCAGGATTATGCATTTAAAATGAGGAAGGAGTGGTGATTTCAAAAAGAGGATGCGATGTATTTTCTTCCTTCTATGGTCTCTATGATAGCTAGACAATTAAGCTTTTGAATATTGAAGGAAAACAGAATTGAAGGGTACCATAATATGACAGACATGGTGATGATTAATGATAAAATGTATGGGACACTGTGGTGAATGTGAATATTTGTTCCAAGAGAAGATCACTAGTCTGCTGAAGATCACAGGTCAATGCTGGCACAAAATTCCTGACTCCCTCAGTCTTTAGCAGGTTAGTTTTACATTCTCGTGTCTCTTGGCTTTCTGATAAGAATATGGTAAGTGAAGACACCATAGCCCCAGAGGACCAATCTCTCACCAGACAAGCAACTAGTGACCGGTTTAACCTAGAGGTAACTCTGGAAAGGGGCAACATTGAGTATCTGATGGTGTGGCATTCCATCATAAACTGAACCCCGGTAGTGCAGCAAGTCCTTCAGTACTGACCCTCTGACAGTGCGGCACGGTGTAAGCACTGATCCTCTGACAGTGCGGCACTCCCTCAGCATTGAACTCTGACAGTGCGGTACAATTAACATCATGGTAACCTCAACCAGCTGCAGGAATAGAACCTGTGCTACTGTCATTAATTAACATCCCACAGTAGCCATCCAGACAACTGAGCTGATGTGTGTCACATTGCCACTACTCCTAGCTGCTCTTAAGAAAGTGATGATAGGTGGCTTTCCTGAGTTGCTTTCATCAACTTGCCGTACGCAAACCCACAATGTCATTATGGGCAGAATATCAGGATTTTGACTCAGTGACACTGAAGCAATGACTCTGGGAGCATTTCACTATTACAGAAGCGAGTGCAACACTGTTGCAGGGTCATTACTGTGGGAGCGCTGCACTGTTGGGGCATCAGTACTGAAGGAGTTCCGCACTGTCGGAGTTCAATTGCTGAGGGAGTGCCGTACTGTCAGAGGATCAATGCTTACACAGAGGCGCACTGTCAGAGGGTCAGTACTGAAGGAGTTGCTGCACTATCGGGGTTCAGTTTATGAGGGAATGCCACACCATCAGATAGTCAGTACTGACAAGGTTTTGCACAGTCAGAGGGTCAGTATTGAGGGAGCACTGCGATTTCAGAGGGTTATTACTGAGGGAACGCTGCAATGTTGCAGGGTCAGTACCAAGGGAGTGTTGCATAGCCCAAGGCTCAGCACTGAAGGAGGGTCAGTCCTAAGGGACGGCTGCACTGTCAGAAGGTCAGTACTGAGGGAGTGCCACACTGTTGAGTTCAGTGCTGACGGAGTGCCGCACTGTCGGAGGGTCAGTACCAAGGAGGCACTGCACTAGCGGAGTGTCAGTACTGATAGAGTGCCGCACTGCCGGAGTTCAGTGCTGAGAGAGTGCCACATTGTCGGAGGGGTCAGTGCTGAGGGAGTGCCACATTG